CAAAAACAAAATAAAATATAAAACAAAAACTGTAATCATTTTAGTTGCACAAAGTCGAAATGTAATATTTTTGCGTTTATCTAAACATATGTACATATTGTATGTATGTCCTCAATTATTCCACTTTTCAATTTTATTGCATTTTTTTTAGACACACATAAACACACACACTTTTTTATATTAATGTCTAAAGTGCCACAAATGAATTTGAAAATTGACGCCGCTACGTCTGTGTTGTTTATATGTTTATATTGAGTATATATATATACATGGATTACATACATATATTCATATATACAAATATGTAATCATTAAAAATTTGCTTCTGGATCTCAAATGGCATTTTATTTCTCACAAAGTATAAATTTATGATCGCATTGCGTGACTTTAGTAGCAGAAAAATACCGTAATATTCAGTTAAGTGTGGCGAAAAAAATAAAAAATATTGCAAATATATATATGTTAGTTTAAAAAAATACACATATCCACATAAAAATCGATAGAAAAATTTGAAAAATGTTTTTAATTTTTTTTTGCTCAGAAAAATTATAAAATATATTGTCAAAAGAAAAAATAATAGTTTTAGAATAAATACCATTTTTCAGTTTAATATATTATATTTTATGAATATGCTGAAATTAGCCGCCATATTTTTAAATTTGAATAATTTGTCATTTTTTTCATTTGTAGTGCATTAAATGAAATTTTTTTTAAATTTATCAATTGCATTTAATTTTTTAACCTACTTTATTGCATTAATTTTTTTTAATTTTTATAATTTACAATATTATACATTAATATTTTTTTTGTATATTTATATATATTTTTATATATAACTTTTCTACTAAGACTAAAAAATTCAACGAACTAGCTTTTTCTATTAAAATTACTAAGATCACTTTGCTAATCGAAAATAGCTGAAAATGTAGTACACATGTATGTATGTACTTGCTAATTTTTTTATTTTTTTAGTTTTTTTTATTTACACGTGTAGCGCGCTCATTAAAAACTTCAAACTTAAAATGGCGTATTGAATTATTTTTCTTATGAATTATGATCGAATCTTAACGAAAACTAATTAAGTGCAAAACTTGTTTACTATTTGTATATTTTTCGTTTCATGAAGTGTGCAAAAAACGGAATAACAAACTTTTACAATAATTTTTTATAATAAAAATCACTGTTTTATGTGTGAAAAGGAAACAAATCAATTCTTTTATCTAAAACATTTTTGTCGTTCAAAATGTGTTTACAAAAAAGGTGTATAGATTACATGCACTATGTGTTTACTTCCAGCAGTTCCACTTGTATGTATGTATAAAATACGCGTTTGACAATTAATTGATTTTCATTGTATTATAACAATATATTTATTTTTAAAGCCATTGCCACTTGCCTAGTAATTATTTTGTTATACTTTTGAAAACTTCAATAAACTCAATTAGTAACTTGTAAAAAAAAAGAGGAATTTGCCTGCTTTGCATCATTGAAAACGATGTAATATTTACTCTTATTGAAAAAATTACATCACTTTTTATGCAAAAAAAAAATAATAATTTAATGAGTTTATTATTTTATTATAATTTACGTATTACTGTGAGAACACATTTTTATTAGATTATTACAATATGAAATTTTCCAATATGCGAGTTGTATTCATATGAGTAATAAGTACATAAATATTTACAAAAATTTATTAATTAGCGTTCATTATTATTCCCACGCAATTGCTCGAAAATAAAGGGAATTGTCATAAAAAGAAAAGACCAAGCACAAATACTTTATGGCTGAGAAAACTATTTTATATTTTCTTTTGCAAAAGTTGTAAAACCATCGTGCCAATACCTCACCTCAACAGTCAATTTCCGTTCAGTTAATAATCGATAATTTTTGTTTTTATAATCGAAGTGAACATACCAGTATCATCGCATCAACAGCTGTCACAGCTCGTATGAATAAACAGAAACATAAATTAGTCCCAGAATATTTTTGATTTGTTAAAAGAAAACTCTGTTTTATTGTACTATACAATTAATTAATTAGTAAATATGCTATCAACTGGTCGGCGATAATCTGTAGTGCTCAAATTGTTTGTTTTAAATAATTTTGCTACAAAAGAGATTGCCTCTTCGTGTTTTTGCTCCATTAATGCAGCACCAAGAATTTTTTTCTAATAAAATTAGCAAAAAACGAAATAAGGTTATAAAATGAAAATATATATGAAAGTAATAAAATTAAAAGAAAAAGAAAAAATAAAAAATGGTGCAAAAATTAAAAAAAAACTAAAGCATATAAAAAATTAAATTAAAAAAAAGAAATTAAAAAATTAAGTGAAATAACACAAATTAAAAATATAAAGAAAAGTAAAAGTAAATAGTAAAAAACAAAAAAAAATTAAAATAAACTTTAATTGAACTTACTGAAATAAAAAAAATTTAATATAAATAAAAAAAATATTTGATTTAAATAAAAAATTATTTAATTTAAATAAAAAAATTAATTAATAAAATAAAATATAAATTTACTTATATAAAAAAATTTATTTAATTAAACAAAAAATTCATTAAACTAAATTAAATAATACAGTCAAAGTTTAATAAAAATAAAACAAATTCGTGTGCGGAAAAAATAGAATAGAAATAATAATTAAAGCAAAGTATTTGCATATATTGTATGTACATACATATATAGATATGTATGTATTTTTTTTGCGAAATGCATAATAAAGTACGAATTTAAATTTTAGCAATAAAAAAAATGTGAAAATTTATACAAAATAAAGGCGTTAAAGAGGCACTGAATTACCAAAACAAATACAGTTTGGAGATAAGCAAGCGAAAAAAATAAAAAAAATTTTTAAACACATAAACCAGCTAAATAAATACAGTGACGTATACACAACTTTTAGTACCAAAAAGTTCAAACGAGAAATTCGTGCGATAAAGCAGAAACCGAAAACCAAAAATGAGTGGCTAAAGAGTAGGAAAAAACTTAAAATTTTTAAATATATGTATGTTTTTTAGTTTATGTATGCGCATAAAACTCCATAAGCAGCAATTAAAAAATTCCATTGCATGAATTTTTTTATTCGCTTGCTGATTTAATGACGAACGAACGCGTACAACAAAAACAAAATATCAACAAATTAAGATATGCCATGAGCCACTTTACTACATACAGCACAGCAACAAAATTGCGAAAAATATGCACACAATGAACTAATAGTGAACGAGAGGAAAATAAGTAAGAATAAGGAAAAAAAATAAAATAAAAAAAATGAAAAATAAAAATGAAAGAAAACTAAAGAGTAATACTTGAAAAGCGAAATACAATTACAGTTGTCTATGAACTTAAACCACTCGTAGCGGCGAAACTGTAGTGAAGTACTTATCTCTGTTACATATGTACATATGTATGTACATAGCATGTACATATATACATACTATACTCTTAAACAAATGAGTGTGGTGTATAATAATTTCTACTTTTCTTTAACTTTTGCGATTACCGCACACGCAAAAGCACAAAAAAGCCATAGCAATTGCATATTGTATATATGTACATACACACACGTATACGTAGAATAGTAAAATAACTAACCGCGGGAATAGCATAGAATACTTATTCAAGAAGTAAAAACATTTCAAAAACAGAGAATGAGCTACATACTAGTATGTACGTACATATGTATGTAGCTAGCTAAATAAAGAAACAGCTGGTGGCTTGTCTCTTGACTCGCACAGCAACAACATATCTACGAGTAAATCACAAATAAATTGCTATTGTGTGAATTTTATATGTACGAATTTGTACGAATACAAAAATATTCACTCGTTCGCTGTAAGCTGCCTGCCTTCTCGGCCAAGCAGCGCTGTTCGCTTCGCGTTGATAGCGTCACAAAGTACTTGATTTAGATTATTTTTATTTTGCTTCAACTTCAAAAACTATGTAAATATAAAATACAAATAGCACACACAAAACCACAAGCATAGCAAAGTCAAGAGAAAAAAATTAAAAACACACACGCACATACAAAACTGCCGTGTTACAATAGTACAACGAGTAAAGACCCATAACAGCGCTGTTGTCGTCGAAGTCAACGTTTTACTGCCGCATTTTGAAAAGGTTAAAAACTTGTTTCGTGCATCTGGCTATACGATGACGTGTGATTATTGTGTGACTGTGCGACACGACTGTCACTGCCGACGCTAAGCGCTGACTTTGTCTGCTGCTCATTTCGATTTTAAGCGTATATGTGTGTATTGCTGCCTGAGACTAACTAAAACTGGCTGACGGGCTGGCTGATGATGGCCTGACTAGCTAACTGACTGGCTGGCTGGCTAGCTAGCTGACCGTGTGTAACCACTCTGCTCTGTCTGTCGTGCTACAGTGTGTAGACGGCCTGCTGTTTACTTTGCTCGACTGGCTAGTGGTTGGTTTAGACTATGTTAATTTCCTACCGTGAGATTTTTTTAATTCATTTTTTTTTTTGGAATAGCGCTGCATTCAATTTATGTTTTTTTTTTTGTGATTCTATTTTTAATTTTTTTAGCTTAATTTTTTGTTTGTTTTTTCAGTTTTGTTTATTTTCTCACAACAAATACACAATGTCTGCAATACCAGAAATACAGACAAATTATTCACACGCTACTTGGATTTTCACTGTGGTCTGTGATATTTTATTTTTTTATTTTTTAGTCGTAAACCATAGAGATACATACAGGCGGAGTTGAGATATTTTGTGCTAACAAGCAATTTGCATGTACGCAAACGTTGCTTGACGGAGCTTTAAGAGTGAAAAAAAATAATATTACAATAAAGTTATTGCAATTATTAATTAAAACATCTATATCTATATCTTATATTTTCACACACGCTGCAATGTATGAAGCACATTTTAATTTTACAACTAGTAATGTTTGTTGAGAAATTTTTTAAATCTATTAAAAAAATAAAACAAAAAAAAAACAATAAAAAATATGTTTATTTTTTTATTTCACCTTTTTTCCACTTCTCTACTGCACTACGTATCCAATACGTTTTTTAGCAAACGATTTCAATTCTTAACGCGCTGACGACTGTCTCGTCTCGCACTTATGACTTCTGCTGCGCTGCTGCTCCACACGCACGCCGCGTTTGTATTGGTAGATATTTCTGATTTTTTTCTTGTATGTACATATAATGTTTTTTACTTGTATATTCTTTGCTTTACACAATTTTATAATAAACTTAAGCTTTTTGCTGCCTTTATGCACGCAATTTGCTTTAAAACTTTTGAACTCCACTTGATTCCTTTCGCACTTTTTCCTTTTATTTTTAATTTTTATTTATTTTTTTTTTGATAAAATTTGTATGTATACTTTAAACCAATTTAAAAATTTCTCATCATAAAGAAACGCACAAAAATTCACACACACAAATGCTGCTTTACTTTAATGCATATATGTATGTACATATGTATTTATTTGATTGGAACTACAAGCACACAGATATATATTTTGCTGTGTCAGTTGTATAAATTAGTTTCACACGCGTAACGTGATTTCTTTTACTTATAGCGAATATTGTAGGGGCAAAAAAAAAAGATTCACATTCACTGTAATATCAATTTTAATACTACCAGATACTTTAATTGCCTGCTCCGTTGCAGGCATTCACGTACGTTTCAAACGAGTTACGAAGCTAGACTGAGTGCCGCTCGAGCGCCCTGAATGCTACTTGTAGTAGCGTTTAGGCACTCTGAAAGAGAGCGAGAGTTGGCCATCACGAACAAATTGTCTGTCAGCAGTCGTTCGCGCTTAGCTGTGTGAGCATATTGAGTGTTGGGGCTAAAAAAGGCGAACATCTTGGGAGCACAAGTATCTCGCTGCAACAAAAACCCCCTAAAAGCTAAGCAATAAATGTTCAACCTGACAAACGTTTGCGCTCCATATGTATGTGTGGATCCCAGTAACGAGTGGTAATTGCTAGTAAGTTACATCCACTATACAACTATGTATACATACAGTATTTAGTATGTAGTTTGGACGGTAGAAGTTATAGCTACTATTTCGGAAACCACCATGTTTCCTGGTCAGACTACTTTTTCCAGAGAAACTCGTTCGAATTGTAACTGAAATTGTATGTCGCTTTCATTTGTTGCTGCTTTTTTTGTTACCTTTTCCCTTTTATCTAGATATCCACGATCAAGTGCACAGATATTCTGTAGCAGTAAACTTGACACGATGTAGTTGTTTTAGTAAAAAGTTACTGAAAAATATCTTAAGGCGACGCAAAGTCTTGCATTCCATTTAAAAAATGCCTTAATTCTTTACTTCCGTCGCATTGTAATGCTGTTCAAAAATCAGCGAAAACGTACTTGCGAGCAAGTGTAAGCGATACCACAACCGCAGCGACGGCGTAATATGAGCTGCTACTTCATATTACTAAATTCATCGCTAATCAAATGTGCTACTGGGGTAAATAAAAGTGATACAAAAAATCGAGCAATATTTCCCACAGCAAAACCCACTGCGCTCGCTCAGCCACTCGCCCGCGCTAATAACAGAGAGTGAGAGAGAGAAAGAGAGAGCAAAAAACCAAATTAATTTACGAGTTTGCGCAATACTTTTGTTAATATACAGTAAGCTGTGCTGAATTTGTGAACAATGCGAGAAACCATATTGGAACCACCAACTGCAACCGGTTAGTAAAATTTAGCGAATTACGAATTTTGAATAAAGTTTAATCTAAAACACAAAAAATAAATTAAAATCTGAAGCAAACTTGCGTGTAAATATAACATTATATTTAACATAAGCACCAAGCAGACAGCCATGCTACAGTTGACTGTTATCGATTATCGATATTATTAGTACATTGCCTGTTCGCGAATTGTAATTTCAATAGTAAATGGAATTTCTATTTTCTTTCATTGAACTCTTTGAATTTTCAATAAAATAACTAAAGTTTGTGTAAATACATACATATGTATGTATATGCAAATGTGCACTGCCGGCCGCTAGCGCATATTTCTTCTCGAAAAACAAATTTTACCAGCCAACATTAGCTGCTAGCTTGCAAACTTTTTAAACACCGCTCTATTCATAAATTACAGCAGTATAACTCGAAATATATGTGCTTGGCGATGTTTATGGAAATTTATTGCTATCAAAAAAAATGCGAAGTAAACACGAATCAATGGCGTGATTACTTCTGACGTGCATACACGAGTGTTTGACAAAATTTCAGCAGCGATAACTTGATGAATTTTGTACAAGCGTAAATGTCGCGCTATAACTTGAAAAATATGAGATCATCAGTTTTTTTTTTTTTTGAGCAAACGAATAAATAAATAAACTAGGGCTTAATATTAGCGTTTTGTGTTTGAGTGAAGCTCAAAAGTGGCTTCTTTTGAGCAGACAGCGTATAGTGAGCTCTCTGTAGAATAATGTATTAATTTAAGCGATAAATAAGTATTTTGAAAGTTTTCAAATCTAAATATAATATGCGGCTATATTACAATACATGGATTTTCAAAAAAAAAGGAAAATAAATCAAAAAGTAAACTAGGCGCTCTGTCTGAAGGAGCAAATAAGCAGGATGTTAAGAAAATCTCTATAAGTGTATAATGAGAATAAGAGCAAGCGCCAGAGAGCATTATGGGTAACTAAATGCCCGCTCAGAGAGTGATTGTCTATGAATTGAGAGCGGAAACTGGTGTTGCAGCAAACAAATACAGCAGGCGGCTGTCAACCAAATGAGAGAGAGGGAGAGAGTACCATTTTTGCAGAAGACAATTATATCAGACAACTGAGAAGAGAGCAAATTACTGTTGCAGGAAACAAAAACACTAGACGATGAATGAATTTTTCCATATACAGTTACAGCCAGTTACAGCTATAACTGAAAAAAGTTCTTTGATAAAACAAGATTCGCATAGCTCAATGCAGTGCAATTCATTGAGAGAGAAGATTACACGACTGCTTGACATACTCTTAATAAGTACTTGGGGGTTTAAAAGTAATTAAAAGTTATGCGAAGAGATTAACACATTAATTGCTGCACTGAATAAAATAGCGAATTGATAATGGTCGACTTTTAAATGAGCTGCTGTATTTTAGTTCGAAAAAACTTCTTTCTTGGCAATTGTATAATTTTTTTTTTTTTGCTTGTTTAATATATAACATGACGAGCGTCTAATGGTTATGGTCTAAAACCTGATTAATTATATAAGTAAATAAAAATTCCCATTCACCATTTGGTTTGCCTACTTTTTGATATCACTTTAAAGCCTTGCTGATATCAGCCGGTTTGTCTAGCATGCGCCTGTAATTTCATACAAAACATTTTTTTAAATATTGCAAAAAACAGCTGTCAGGTGCGTTTAAGTAATAAAATATAATAGAAATAATGTAAACATTTATCCAGCAAGTAAGGTGTAAAACAAATGTTAACGAGCATAAAGCAGGCATTACAAATGTTGTTATAAAAATACAAACATGCGTACATATGCAAATCAAAGACTACGGCTTGCTTGAAAATTAAATCAAATAATAAAGAAATAAAACAGAAAATATAAATCAAATGAAATGAAAATATCGAAAAAATTAAATTAAGATAAGAAATATATAAAATTAAATTTAAAAAAAATAATTAATTAATTCAAATAAAAAATAAATTAATTGAAATAAAAAATAAAATAAATAAATATAAATTAAATATAATAAATTAAAATAAAATAATATAATATAAAATAAAATAAAATAAAATAAAAAAAAAAATAAAATAAAATAAAATAAAATAAAATAATATAAAATAAATTAAAATAAAATAACATTAAAATGCTTGACAGTAGCCCTCGTATGTGTTTAGGGCCAACAAAATTTCCACTGTCTTTGGCTGAATTGCTTATAAAGGATCACTTGAAATTAGCTTGTTTAAAGATAATATTCATTTGACAGCGCATTCAGGCGCGTGGGTAGCAGGTACGGAAAATACAGCGGAAAAAGATTTAACAGCGTTATCGTATTATCGTATTATTCAGTAGACTTAACGCCTTATCTGTGTGCCATTTACTTTGGCAGGTGTTATTATTATTACTTTCTTTTAATATAGACAAACTTTATTTGGGATTAGTGTTGTTATTGTTTACCAAGCTAACAACTAAGCACTTACTCGTGTATGTATGTATGTTCATGTCTGTACGAAATGTTCATAAGGCGTAAGATAAGATAGCAAATGTAATGCATTTTTGAAAAAAATAATAACAATAATTAATTTTAATGTGACAAGTCTACAGTCTAGTCATAAAACAAGTGTTTGTACGTCACAACCAAAGTAAATTGTTTGGCGTTTTTTTTTTGTTCTCATACACCTTTATTTATTTATTTAATTTTTTTGACATTTTCGCATTTATTTTGTATAATTCTTCATTGCATTGCATTGTCATTTATTTAGAATGAACTCGACAATCATAAAGTAAGTAAACAAAATAAAATAAAACAAAACAAAAATTTTAATAATATTAACAAACAACTGGTTTTGCCAGCTCGTTGACATCCATTCGTACATATTGCCATTTAATTATAAACTTAAAATACCGTTCATAATTTTTAGCACAAGCAAAAAATTTCAAAGAAAAGAGAAAAAAATTAAAAATAATAACAACAAAAAAATTAAAAAAAAAAAAATTTAAAAAAAAAAAATCAAATGAAAAAATTTAACTCACTTGCAAACCAGTTTTCAAGACGAGCTATTTTGGACGAAAGGAAAAGAAATAAAAAACTCGAAATTAATTAAGAAAAATCTCTAACAATTAACCATAAAAATGTCTTAAATTTTCAAAAACAACCGGAAAAATTTAACAAGAAAGTAAAAAGTTTAAAAAAAAAATCCAAAAAGACTGCTTTCTCACGAGCCTACCTATCGGAAAGGTAAAAGAACCAGATCCTTTTCCTCTATATCGACGTAGATACTCACTACTTACGCGATTGTAGCCGAGTTTCTCTTCCTCTGCTACCACCGGTGGGTACTGCTTTGAAAATTTCAAAGCTGGAGTATTGTCGCACATGCGGACGATATGAACTAGCCAGCGTAGTCAGTCACTGTCTCTTTATGCGGTCGTCGTTTCATCGGTTGTATTATTCGCGACCATAAATAGGATCGTGGAAGCCAAATGCTGTTAAATCTCTTTTAGAGAGTTAAGATTTTAGCACTCCATCGTATTTCATAAATAAGTTATTCCAATTACCAGTTATTCCACTTCCCGACCACTGCAGCACCTTTCATGGTTTCTGAATTCTAATACGATAACTCAACCTATTACAATATATTCTGGAAGCCTGGCAATAAGTCTCGCCTCTCAATGCAATCCCCACAACTCAAGTATGG